AGTTGAAAGACCATGCAGCTTTTCACATTACATTATGTAGCAGTGGTTTTGTTTTTAATTTAGAAACGAAGGTTTGCTGCAATGGAATCAAACAGGAATCTGAGTTCCACAGAGAGAAACAGCTGAATGCCTCGGATTGATCTCTCTCTCACTTGCAGAAAGTTGGTTACATCTTTACTTGCATCTTTGGTTACAAGGCATCCAGACCTTGATACCACATCTTGTGTGAGATACTCCCTGTTCTTTACCATAATACCTATTACAGTCATGCTGGGATATTGACTTTCTGTGAATCAAAGGATAAAAAGTGCCCCCATTTCCAAATTACTAATGATTATTGCTTTGCCATCGCTGTTATCTTTTTTAAAACAATGTACAAATAGGAATTAAATGAGATCAGAGTTAAAATTATGCTACAATGTTAAACTACCAAGTAGAGTGAGATGGTTCCCTATATACAAGCACCTTTCACTTGCAAGTGCAAGACATTGAATCAAGACTGTACTCTAGGGCTGAGATTGAGACAGCTTAGAGTATTTTCAATAACAAAGACTGACTCAAAGAAAACTCTATTCTGAAGCAAAGACCAATCACCTAAGTATATTCTCTGTGGCTCGGGTGTTTTAACACGATTATGGTCCTGATAGAATTAAAGTTGGATCACTTCTTTAAAACTGGAGTGTATTGGGTCTGGCTGAGATGGAGATAATTTTCCCCATAGCAGCCCTCATAGTGCTGTGCTTTGTATTGGTAGCTAGAAAGGTGTTGATAACACACCAGTGTTTTGGCTACTGCTGAGCAATGCTCACACAGCATCAAGGCTGTCTCTCCAACATTCCCCCCTCATCAGTAGGCTGGGAGGTGGGCAAGATCTTGGGAGGGGACATAGCCAGGACAGCTGACCCAAACTGACCAACGGGATATTCCATGCCATATGACATCTGCTCAGCAATAAAAGCAAAGGAGGAGGAGGGGAGGCATTCGTTATTATGACGTGTCTTCTGGAGCAACCACTACGTGTACTGAAGCCCTACTTCCCAGGAAGTGGCTGGACATCACCTGCTGATGGGAAGTAGAGAATAAATCTTTTGTTTTCCTTTGCTTCCATGCGCGGCCTTCGCTTTTGCTTTATTAAACTGCCTTTATCTTGACCCACAAGGTTTTTTTTCCATCTTATTTTCTCACCCCCTCTCTTGCCGAGGAGGGGAGTGATAGAGCGGTTTGGTGAACACCTGGCATCCAGCCAAAGTCAACCCACCACATGCAGTTAAGCCCTAACAATTAACGAAGTCATCATTATTTTAAATTTCCTGTTTAGAGTGATGAACCTGTAAATATCATCTGCGTGATGACAACCACAGAGTAACTTTTTGGGAATAATGTCTCCCACACCCACAATGCCCCTTACTAAAACTTGCCCACAGTACCATCTGAGGTGGGCAGCAGCCTTCCTCCCCATCAAGCAATAACTTAAGACAGTTCATTATCTACCTCGCCTCCAACAGTGCAAAAAACAGTGATTACCTTCACATGTTTCTCCAAACCCAACACAGCTACATTCACCAAATCACATTTTTATGATTGGCTTACCAGAAAGGAAGAGAAAAATGAGCAACATAAAAATAAAAATACATATTGCAAGGAAAACATTCAAAATGGGTCACTGACTAGTGCGAGTCCAGCTTGAAACATGCCAGGCTCTTAATTTCCACTAGTTTTGAGAATATAAAAGATTAAGGAATCTAAAATCAAAGGCTATATTGCAAATGGCCTATTGACTTTTACAACTATAGTGCAAGTTTCACTACCTCAGCCTCAGATTGCGGCTACAGACACTGCAGATTGCATAATTCCAGATCTCTCAGAACCCTGGCAAATTTCTCTACCTCTCACAAAGTTTCAGCATTGCAGACAATAGTGTGAGGTGCAAGGCATAAATTGAACATCATCCGAAGACATATACTTCTCCCACAAGAGAATGTCCATGGCCAGAGACTCTTCGCGTTATTTTCTCACTTGTTCAAAATGTCTGTGTTAGCACTAAGACTTACGTCATCCTCTGGTCAATGCAGAGATACTGTTAGCTTTCCTTTTACAAACATATTTCTTCTGCATCTCAGAAAATCTGTCATATTTACTTTTGAGGCAAAGTTAGATTGGTCAATTCCCTATGAAGCACTCACTTCTCATTAATAATTTCAAGCATTCTCACTATCTATCTTGTCTAAGGGAATACCACTACTTGGCCTCTGCAGATAATATTTATATTATTTTGATTCTTTCAGTACTACTTTATTATGACTAGAATAATTAACTTCTGGCTTAATTGTTACTATTGACTGGACTCTCCGCTCAAGCAGTGTGTCACAGTGGAGACACTGGAGGGAATCCTTGGCTTTGCTACTAGTCCTGCCCCACCACTCTGGCAGAGCCCAGGGGAATGCCTGGGCAGTGTAGAGCCAGCCCCTGTGACTCTATGCAACCATAGTGCATGCATGTACCTAACTTGCGCTGCATGCAGTTTGGCCATACTGCTCAGTCTTTCTACGACCCAGTGTAAAGGCTTTTGAAGTGAAAAAGAGGCTTTTGTTTCCGCATTAATTACAGAGCACAGTCTTCACAGGATCTTTGTGGAAATTTCCTGGTCTATTTTTCCTTTGCCAATCTACTACCAAGAATGGGCAGCCTGTGCTATTAGACAGCTGGATAACAAGGTGTGAGTGAAGAGTCTGCCTGATTAATACAAAAATATGTAAACTCTCATCAACCATTTTTTCCCTTTTGTGTTCTGTCCCCCCTTGACTGCACTAGAGCCTCACCTATCAAGGCCTCAAGACAAATAAGCAGCCTGTCCTTCCCTTTGTACTTAAGCCTGGATACAGACTCCCTCCTTCAGCAAACATCAACACTGCTTCATAACTGGGTCATAGACCAGTGCAGAAACCTGTCACATTCCCTTCCCTGTTGGCCTCTGTGTTCCAGGTCCACAGCACTACCACCAGGCTGACAGACTAGTTCTGCCTGTAATGTAACTTAAAGAGAATTCAAAATCAATCTGTAATATTGCAGAATAATGTTTCATTATGAAAAATTACAGTCTTTGCATTGTTTGGACCACCTAGTGGACAGCTTTTTTTGTGTGAATAACAGCTTATGTAGTATAGCCCTACATTATAAAACACATGTATTTTATACATGTGTTCTTATTCCAAAAAGATATTTGCTATTTCACTTGGTTTTCACAATAGGTCTAACGATATTCTCTTCTTAAAAGTATACTCCACACAATAAGACTGAATATAGATTGAGCAGTGTGTGAAAGCATCTGAATTTCTGAATGCAAGCCGTGCTTTTAAAAGCACCCAAGGAAGTTGTTATTCTTCAGCAGGTTTACTTCCTTAATAGTTACCCACTGAAGTGTGATTTATATGATCATCTATCTGAATATCTTCATGCTTAACTAGGAAATTCCTTACTTCTCTGTATTTGCATGCTTATTCATTTACACATACATGTTTCTTAAATAGTTCAGATCAATGTTGCATTTATCTCTTCTTCAAATTCTATTCTATCACTTCACATTTTTTGAAGTCTCTCTAAATTACTGGGTAATGGCTCTGAATCACATGCTTGCTAAGGGTGTAATTCTGCCAGTTTTACTCTCTCTAATTGTTTTACCTCAGACACAATGTCTTTGATTTCAAGGAGACTAGTTGCAGGGTAACATACAATATCCAGTGAGAGTAAGGATGACAGATTCGGGCCCTGGCTGCTTTCCTCAAGAGGATTTGCTGCAATGAAGATATTTCTGTTTGACAGGTTTATTGTTTAACATGTAATAATTTAAGATAGTAATGCACACATCTGCAGTCCCACACTATGGATTCAAAACCCATATGGACAGAAATGCATGAAGAGAGAATAATGGATTTCTCAACCTGCTGTGTTTACATAGTATTCTGTTTTTAGCATGGAAAGCACATTATGCCTGTGTAGAAGACTAAAAACATTGAATTTGCATTATTCCCTGTAACAGAAGGACCTCCTATAAATACCTATCTTCTTACCTTTACATTGTAAATTGTTTAACTGAACTCTGTAAAGTTTAAACACGTAAATTGCAGGATTAAGGCTCAAGTAGTCAGATAAATATTTGTAGACTTACAAGATGAAGGGTGTCCCATTAAATATATAAACAAATGTTAATGTATGGCACAAAATTATAACCATAATTTTCAGTAATAACCTGGAAATTAATGTATTATCATTTGTATTTTGGCTCTAGTTACAGATATCACATTACCAACCTACTTCATCTTAAACTGTGGAAGGTATTCTATGATCCAGTATTAAAGTCTGTATTCATGGATTTGCAAGGACACAATGACTACAATAACAGAAAAAAGTATTCCGATAGGTAATGATTTCCTGGAATATTCAAAGATAAACCAGTTAAAACTCAACAAATGTCTTAATGTTTTACTTCAAGTTTTTAAACTGTTACTGCCCATGGCAAAAATACCGTATCAGCAAATAAAATAAAAAACCACATTGCATAGATTGCAGAATTATTGCAGACTTTCCTGTGTTGCTGGCTGAATCTTTGTGCGTGTGAACAAACAAGTTGTCTTTCATTCTGCCAAACATGAGAGATTTCATTACTGTCTTCCACTTTTGAGGCTGGAAGGCAAAGGAAAGCTGAAGCTCTTGAAAATCAATTTGATTTCAGTAAAAGGGTATTTCGAGATTATTAACCACATTTTTTGTAGAAACCGTATTTTAAAAATCTTTATACTTCCACCTCCGTAATTCAGGTACTTAAGGGCTTTTTTATATTTCCAGGTTGAAAATGTGTAGAAGAAAGTTAGTTCCTTTATGTTTCCTGCCTTCCAAGGGATTCTTAAAAGACATCATAAATATATAAAGCAAGTTACATGCTGACAACATGTAGCTTATAAATAGTAAACGAAAGATCTCTGTTTCTTTACTGTATTTCTTACCTCCTTTTTTATGGGGTATCAAGGGACTTGACAACTGATGGTCTGCAACTGACTGGGATTGGCTAATTGATTGTGAATCATTCATTTTGAACGAATGTTTTTGAATAAATGGAGAAGCAGAAATCTCATCCAAATCCTTCTGGAATAAAGAATGCTGGTTTAGGCACATAAGAAATGTATTGATTTCACTCTGCCATGATAACTTACATTTGTGATCTCGCAGAGAGCAACTTCTTATTTTCTACTACTCTGTGAAATGTCTAATGCTAGATTTAAGTTACACAAGATTCTTATGGCTTTCAGCAACACCGATTTAGCACCCATGTCACAAACATTTGTTTACTTTTTCCATTTAACTTATTTATCCCCTTTCCTCATGCAGTTAAATCATAGCATGCACTGTATGCTGATTTCCTCTCATAGTTAATTTGTATCTTTAGAAAAAAGCTATAGGAAGGTATTAATCTGCTTAACATTTCTAAGTACATCATCCAAGGGATTTTGTTTTTTTAATCTTACATATGCTCAGCAGAGTTACTGGCAAAAACTGTACATTTTCTCCATTTCATCCTTTCAACATCAAATGGTAAGCAGCAAAAATTGGATCAGACTTCAAAGACTATGCTGTGCTCCAAGTCACAGAGCGACTCCTCCATTTCACATATTGAATTCGAGCAGGATATCAAAGTGCTACCAAAGAACCTCAGGTCCTTACTAAAAAAGAGTCTCTAACATCTGTAGAAAGTGAAGTGCACAGACAAATCACCTCAGGGAGCAGCTAGCATTTATTCTCAGCAGCAAATTTCCAGCCTTTTGATTCTCTTATTCACTGTACCTCCCTGTCTTTCTACAGAACTAAAGTTCTTAGCAAGCAGGCTTTTGTCTCAAAGACTTCAAAACATCACTAACGGTTTCATGTTCAGATGGCTACGCCAAGCAGCCATGAACACATTGCAGAACTGTGGACTCAGGAATTTGAAGTTATAATGTGATGTTATTTTAGAGTATAAACTTAGTCGTACCTTTTCTGTTTGTTTGTCAAGAAAATCAGGCACCACAGGAGAAGACTGGTTACTGGTTTGCTGCCTAAAAGCAAAGAAAAATAAAATACGTAGTTTAAATATTGTAATTTCTTCATTCTTATAAAAGGTTTACCGGCATACACATTTTTTGTTGATTTTCCCTTTTCCCCCTCCCCCAATTTCTAAATATGCACATATAATCAATTCAGAGAAAACACAGACCAGTCCCATTTCCTCTTATAAGGAAGTGCATGTTATTAAACACAGTAACAGGCTATAAGCAATGAATTTGTCATTAAAAATTTGTGGATATGTGCATATGTGTAAAATGAGTTTATGAGAATTCTATGAAATTGAAGTCATGTATTAAAATTAATTTGACAAGATTTTACATGAAACTTTTTTTCCAGGGCTGTGAAAAGCTGTTTTCACAGAATTCAAACTTAAGACACTCAAAATTTGACAGATGAGGAAGAAGTGAAACACGTGGCTTTGTGTTCTCCTAAAGCCATTTGGGTTAAGCACAGAGCAAGGAGTACGAGTTTTTAGATTCTTTGTCTATATCTGTTATTATTTTACCATCACATTATATCACCATAAAAATATTAAAGGCCAACTCCTGCTCTAATTAATGCTAATTAAAGTATAAAAACCTTCTGCAGGCCCTGATCCTTGTTGACAGGTCTTTGAAGTCAATGGATCTCTTCAATAGTAAAGTCCACCCAGACAGAACTTGCTCCAGAATCTTTAGCTATGCAAAACCAAAAAAAGAAGCTACCAATTTCATCTGATGGATAAAAAACTGAGGTTCATAGGTATTATTTGATATGCTCACGGTCCTAAAACTGGGATTAAAAGCAAGCTTTTCTGATTGTCAAAACACGCCTCAGCCATTGCATCATTACTCTCCAACCCCCTCACAACCTTTCTGAAAATAAAATTAATGGCAGTTGTATTTCTACTTATAGATGAAAACATCTGAAATCTAAGTTTTGGTCATAGATTTTGGTTTAGACATATATATCATAGCTTTTTTCATAGACAGGGAAAAGCTTTACAAGGCACTAAGTAGCTCTTTCAGTTTTACAGTTATTACAACTGAATACATTTCAGCCCTTTCAGTCACAGTGGGAGGGGGGAATATAAAGAACAGAAATTGCTTTACTGATTAAAAAATACAACATATGTTATCTCAAAATTCATTTTTTGTCAATACTTATGTTTCAGTCAGCTACACTAGTTATAAATTACTCATATAATAATAGAACAACATGTTGGACTTTAAAAAATGTCTGGCCACATGTGCATTTTACCTTTCAAAAGGCACCTTTAAAATGTATCCTTTAAAAATACTTCAGATTAAAATAACGCTACCAAAGGACTTGAAACATTTTAGACTATTAAGTATTGAATTTGATAGCTGTATATCACCATGCATATGTATTATATAACACATTTATTCTGTGACATCCACAGAGGCTACTGAAGTATTTCAAGCCTTATTTGCAATAGGGTTTAGGCTCTTAGGTTTAAGTTTGTCTGAATGTGTTACCCCAGCTCAAAAGCACTGACTTGAATTGTTTCGAACTAATCACAACAATGATGGCATCACAGTTGTCAATAAGCTACCTCAGGGTGTGGGAACAAAATGAAGCATTCATGAACATGGCAAACATTCAACTTTTCTGTAATGTTGCAATTTTGTGAATGAAGTTTGGATTTGCTTGTCAGGTTTGGGGAAATTAAATTCCCCTTTATTCTTTGACACTAAGAAAGAGAAGGAAAACATTCTGCCTAAACTGTAATTTGAATTTAAACTGCTGTTTTCCTTGGAGGAAATGGAGGGATCCATTTTAAAAATGCATTCTCATTTTGTACTGGCACACTTCTTGTACAGGAAAGTATAAAATATGTCTAGGACTGTATTTGACATTGCACTTGTACATGGACCATCTTATCTGTAAAGTTCTTTATTACTATTTATCTTGTATATATATTATTTAGATAACCATTTATTTAGTGGGATTAGTTAGATAACTTGCCACTTTTCCCCAAAATTACTCAAGCATTTGTTGAGATGATTCATTCCCCCACCCCCCAATACTGCAGAAAATAAACCAAATATTAGCTAAAAGTCATGAATAATCCTCAGATATCACTGTGGTGGATGTCAAAATCAAAGTCTGCTGTTGGATCAGTATGTTGCAAATGGCCTACAATGCCAAAACAGACTGAATCATCATCTAAGTTTAAATATTCAGATTTTGGGGTGGTTTGGATCTGGATCTAAATCTGCAGCTTGAACTAATCTCTACCTTCTATAAAAAAAGTCTAGAATTTAGCATGGTTTTGCCAGCATTTTAACTTTGCCAGGGCTAGAACATTGTATAAATTTTTAAAGCATGAAGGTGAAGTTCAGCAACTTGCCTTCTGTACAGCTTAAGCTAGCAAAAATCAGCCTCTGGAATTCTGAAGCCCTCAGACCCCGACTCTCAGTCAGGATCCCTGTGATGTCATGTTTCTGACTAGAACAATCCTAAGTTGGGTTGTATTTGGCACAAGATACCCCATCCTTCCACAGAACGTACTGTTGCTGATATAAGTATGTACTTCATGATTATTAGCTTTTACTCAGGAGCTTTTCATTGTATTTTTCTCCCCCTGTCCTGTTGAGACGGGGGAGTGACAGAGCGGCTTGGTGGGCACCTGGCAGCCAGCCAAGGTCAACCCACCACAACGTCAAACTGGCAAGGAACACTTCTGAAAACATGGCATCAACTCTGAATGCTGAGCACCTTGAAATTAGTCTCTGAGCTATTCTGAAAATTTGGCTAGTATGCAATATGAAAAATGCAATTTCAACAGGAGGGCAGCTCAGCAGTAGTTAGTTCGTATGAGCCAATCAGTGACGATAGCTAACATTTTCAAATGTGGCATCTGAGGCTGATTTTGACATGCAGGACATTTTCAGGTATCTTTGAAGAAACTGCTTGTCCTATGGTTTCCAAAAATTTTTATTTTCCACATTTGCAGGAAAACAGCGTTTGGGTGAGAGAGATGATATCCAGTCAGCACACTTACCTGGGAAGGATGCAAAAGATTCAGGTTCGTGTGCCTGGTTTCAGTCAGGCAATACAACAATTTGCTGCCGAATGTTCAGCTACTGAGCTATAATACACCTCAGTCTTCACATATGGACTGTCTATAAATCATTCCATTAGCAAGAAACATTGACAAAAAGAGAAACATTGATTCTTAGGATCTGTCTACACATCTGTATAGTGTATAGCCACACTATCCTTAGCATTGAAAGCAGTCAAACCATAGCAGCATAAAACTAGTAGCGCAGACTAATTTAAGCTGGAGAAAAATACATAGTTTTGGAGTTATTCTGGCCATTATGAGCGTAAGTCATGGAATTTGGACTTTCATCATTTAAATGCTTTTGAAAATGTTAGAAACACTCTTAGATATTCCACTAGAAAGAATACAGCTCATTTTGCAGAAATAATGTATTCCTGAACAGAACAAATTTAATCCTTCCAGCATGGCTAGATGAAAAATTCCAAAGGGATGGGGAGGAGGAAAAAAAAGATGACACTGAAACATTGTGCCCGAATTTCCATTTACACCTTTATAAATCATGAGTAACTATTTGAACTTATGAACTGTAAAGTAATTAGAAGCTCACGTGACAGCAGAATCAGGCCCAATAGGTTCCACTGCATGCCACAGGAATTGCAGACCTCCTATTTCCATCACAAGCAATAACCTTAATGTTTGTTATGATTACAAATAGGAAAGTGAAGCAATTAAAGGAAAGCAGAATGTCTTTATACCAGCTTTTACTGTGGAAAGAAATGAAAATTCACATTCAAAAGATGACTTAGACAAGAAATCACAGTGTGGTCTTGACAGAAACTGAAATTATCCAAAGAGAAAATTATGGAACAATGTGAGAAAGGTGTAAGCAGTAAATCACCAGGACCTGATGGCATTCATCTGAAGGTTCTGAAAAAAAAAAAAGGTTTAAAATGCGGAGATGCAACCCTTTCAAGCAGCTATCCATGAAGAATAGAAGCAGCACACTAACATAGTGATTTTTTTTCTTTTCCTTTTAATCAAAAGAACCCAAGGAATGTTTTGTTATTGACTGAGTAAACCTCACTTTAGTGAGAGGCAAGCTGCAGATCAATTCAAAGAAAGCATAGCAGAAGGTGGAAGAGTTTTTATATGGAACAGTTTAATTCACTTTAAGCCAGTTTCTGAACTGATCTGTGCTCATGTGACTGAAATCATGTTTATTCTCTACTCTCAGTGATACAAGGGATATTATGTTTATGTGCTAACCCACCAGTGTCCACATAGGTGAATCCACATTGCATGCTATTTCAATGGGCCTCCAGCTGTTGCAGAACATTCGGAAATGAACACTGTTCATTTTTCAGGCACAGCAACAACGTTGTTGCAAGTAAAGCTGACCCATGGAGAATTCCTCTAGAACAATTTTTGTACTTACTCCTTACACTGATGCAGCAATGGCTGCTGGCACTAAGATGCTATAAAAGTGGCTGACTTGCAATGCCAAACCCACTGGCACAGAGATGTTACATTTCAAGAAGTCACTCTGTATTTATAAATCATAAAAAGAACCTTGGCAAATCATCTAAGCCATCCCCATTTTCAGAGAAAAATAGCTACACCTACTCATTTTTTTTGTCATAAGTTTGTCTAAGCTGATTTTTAAAACCTACAGTGATGGAGATGTCAAAACTTCCCAAGGTAACCTACACAGGGCGTAACTCAGCTTACCATCAGTGAGCTTTTCTTGATGTCTAACCTAACTCTCCTGTGCTGCAATGCAAGCCCATTATTTCTCGCCTGATTCTCAATGGAGAACAGTTTGTTCCTTTCTTCTTCACATCAGCATTTCATGATTGGAGAAATGATAGCACATGCACCCTCAGTCTTCCATCTCCCTTAGAGATCTCCCCTTATCATGGTTTATAGAGATGTGATCATTTTTGTTGCTGAGGGACTTGCTCATTTTCTTGAAGTGCAGTATCTAATATACTACACTGAGGTCTTGACAGTGATGAGAAAATGTTATGATGCACATGTAAGGTAGTATGTATCCTCACTGCTACTACCCAACGTAAACTTTGGAGCAGGGTGCCGTTACTGACTGACATTCATTTTGTGGTTCATTACAGTCCATGTACCTCTGTTTCTAATTCTAATCCTGACCTCTTAAACCCTTCTAACCATCACTCACTTAGTACTGATACAAATTTAGTAATCAGATTCTGCTTCATCAGTCAAGCCATTAATGAGTAGAAATAGACCCATTTCTGGAACTTGACTTTCAGATGCATACTTCCCATAGAACAGAGACACACTGATAATTATTCTTTGCCTATAACTTTCCGAACACCTAAGTTGGTATGCCTGTGTAGTTTTGTTCAGGCTTTATTATCCAATCTTGATTACCCAAGTCTCATGTGAACGTCAAGAGTTTTACTAAAACGAATAGTTTCTGAGAACCTATGCTGACCAAAGCGTGAACATGATACCAACTAACTAAAAAGAGAAAGATGTAGGGAGAAAAATCACAATGAATTCAACTCAAGAGTGTAAAGTGCTGTTGATGTTAGGTATCTTCTAACATACGTCCTTAACACACAGAGCTCCATAAGGAAACAAAGGAGCAAGGGATACTCACTGACACGCAGGTACAGTTACAGACATAACTGATGCATAACAAAGTCACTATGTGGAAACAATGCTTTCTGCTGTACTACCTAGTATAAGGCCACTGATCATGTACATATAGCTAACTTATAATTTGATATTTAGCAGTCAGTGAGCTACAGTTCAGTGAGCTAGAGGAAAAAAGAGCAATACAGGAAGTATTTTCCAGGATAAGTATCAGATCAGTATTATTTAACACAATTTTCATTTGGGAGGGAAATGGATAAGAAGATGGTGGAACATGCAGGTTACAGATGCTTTGACGAGATTCTAAAAGGATTTAAAGATATTTGAGGATGACAGCTCTGTCTGAACAAGAACATGAACAACGTAGCATAGATTAAGGTCCTTAGTCACTGAACTGTAGATTATCCTGCTAAGAACAAGAACATTTATGAAAAGTATATTCACTAGAGATCTGTCAGTCTAACAAGTTAAAAATCACAGGACGTTTTAGAAAATTACTTCTCCCTTCTATGCTGATTATTCCTAACTAGCTCAAGAGATCCCTAATACTAACTTGAAATTGTAGCTATGCCATTGCAAAATGCAGCATCCTTGATTTCATGTGATGACCAATTGTAAAATGGAGGCAGACACGAGGCGAGGCTGGTATCCGTGCTGGCCTCGTGAGAGGGGAGACCCTGTCACGCTCCTCCCTTCTCTGCCATCTATTTGACTCTCTCCAGAAGGGTAAATCTGCTGTTCAGCAGGGTGGTAAAAAGGGCTCTGAAAGGTTTTCACTTTCCTCACTTGAATTTAGTCTTGACCCTGTTTGGCTCTTAAAAATAACTGCCCTTTTAAAGTTTTGAATGAGCTACTTGGGGAAAGGGTTTGATTATGATTCAGTTCCTTGATGCCACGCAGGCCTGCAGGTTCCTATCAGTGGCTGATGATGTCAAGAAAAGGCTTGGCAAATGTCACATACACAGACTGGGTTTTGGGGGGAAATTCAGACTTAGTGTCAGTCTCCCAGGTGTACAATTAAACCCATAAGCCTTTTTCGGTAGAAGGAGTCACAGGCAACTCCACAGCTCTGTGGAACTGAATGGAAAAATGGTTTTTCAATGAGACCAAGCCACTTCCTTGCTAACATTTACCTTATTTTCCCATACCTATGTCTATTCCTATCAGAGGTATTTGCCAATTCTCAATGTGTCTTCAGTTACTTGTGACATCAGCTTCATACAGGAAGGATTTTTGCATTTGAACACAGTTAATACTGGTTTTCAAGTCAAGCATATAAACGCAGGAAACATTTAACATGCAATGTTGAATGAACTAATGTGTGCATTTAATTAGCATTCTATGTCATTTATTAGCTTGAGTTTGCTTATGTCCTGCATTCACTGACTGAAGAGCGTGAACTAGGTGTAGAGATTCAATTTCCTTGAAGGAATTCAATTTTTTTTAAAGTGCCCATTTCCTCTGAACACTTTGAAACTCATTACTTAGTAAAACTGAGTGCTTTATATATATATATAATAACACTGTAACTTCTTTTTTTAACAGATCTTTGAAAAAGCAGCAGGTTGTCATACATTTAAATGTATAGTTATATTCCTGTGCATACAACAGAACAGAACTGTATGTGATTTTGCTTTCTGATCCTGAGTCCTTTAAGCTCATTTTTCATTTTCCAAAACTACCAGTTAGAAAAAAAAATGAAACAAAAATAAAAGAAATGAAAAGAAATGAAAGGAAATGAAGAGAAAAGAATATTTTATTATTCTATACTTTAGTTCCACGGTATGTGAAGCCACAGTGAGGCTGTCTTCTCTAGGGACAGATTACCAGCTACTGTGTCAAACTTCTGCACTATTATTCAGCAGCCTTCCTGTTTCCTACAAGTTTCCTGTATGACTGAACAGCCATATGCTTAAAACACAACAGCCCAGTAACAGCTACATGTAGAAGTAAGGCTTGATTTATGGGAAGTAAGTTATCGGAGTTAGTCCTAAGATTCTGAACATCACCTGTGAAATGCTGAACATTTTCAAGTCTCACTGAAATCACTGGAACCTGAGGCCATTGCTGAGAAATTTACAGGATTGGGCAAATAATCTGCAATATTTGTTGGGGTTAAACTTGAGAACTGCCAGCAGTAATGGCAGTTTAGCCATTCCAGGCAAAAGAAGGTATGAATTTTTTTATCTGTCTGATTGTGCATAGCAATCAGGACTGGGTGCAAGACCTGAATGGCCAATGTATTTTACATGGGCACCTTCAGGCCAGATATCTAAAGGCGTTTAGACATTGATTTCAATGTAAGTTCGGTGGCTGAATATCTTTAAAGGTCTGTATATTTGTGCTTCATAGAGCCCAAATTCACCTCAACAGTTACTGAACCATAAAATCTTTGTGAGCCTCAAGGGATGTACAATTAAGTAAGCTGTACCTAATCCAGAAAAATACATTTGTTTGGAGAGCAACAAGGAATTCCAGAAACAGCCTAATGCAAAAAGGCAAGAAAACCGTTCCTGGCTAACTACACATAAAACAGATGAAGCAAAAAGTTTAAAGAGGCTATGTGCCTCCAAACAAGTCCAGGTGAAAGCTCTAGATCACTAAAGAAAAAAAAAAGTCTATTTACATTGTGAATAATTAGAATTTGGGATGCCAAAGAAAACTGATAACAGACAGCTTATTAGCTCTTGCTTTTAACCACCAGTGCAGACTGGAGAACAATGACCATGCAATCATCAATAGTTCTAAAGAGATCACAAGATACACACCCTTTAAGTACTTAAGAGACAGAAGGAGCTGCATGCACATGAAGGGAATCATAAATTAGGAAACTCATTGCCCCAATAAGCAGTGAGGCAATCCAAGGACAGAGCTATGATGGTAAATTGCAGTGGGCTCATTCTTTTCCCTGAAAATCATTACCAAAACCATTTATTTATTTATTATTTTATTTAGTCCTTGTCCAATGGCCTGAACCTTTTTCTTGCTGAAAACAGAATACTGCAAGGGAGAGATTCTGGAGCACTATTAACCTACAAGAATGCAGGTGGTTACACCTGAACAAAATCCTATAATAATGCATCAGAGCATGTAGCAGACATTATTCAATCTAAATCAACCAAAGTGAGCATGGAAGTTAACATAACTCAATGTTACGAGCATACACAGAGAAAGAAATACCATTTTGGAGAAGTTAACGGTTATTTAAAAGAAAAAAAAACCTTCTTAATGGAATAACAGCATCCAGTTTCATTCAAGCAAGTCATTGATTTCCTCAGAGAACTCTTAAGGGGTGTAACAGAACCTGCATTTATATGCTATATAGGAAGCATATAAAATAACAGAAATAAGAAGTGGAAGATGCACTGAGATGTCCTTATGCCCACGCCACAGCAGGAGAGATCTCATAACTCTTAGCCACTGAAACTTGCTAATCAAAGGGATTAACCCAGCAAATGCAGCCACCTCTCCTAGAACACCGTTGGAGACAGACTTTGACAACAGCTAAAGACCTAACAGATCCCTCTTGCCTCTCATACCCAAGCAAGTGTCAGGGGGACATCTGTCTGGAGTGACTCCATTGGTAAGGAAGGTTAAAATACCCTTCCTCTACAAAGAGGAGGGCACCACTATTATGGTTTACAATATTCCTAGACTTTCTGTCAGTGATTTGTCCATCTGCTTTTTACAGGCTCTTTTCCCGATCTCATTCCTTGTCTGCATGGAGCTTTACAGACACAGAAGGGTAACTTTCTACTCTTTAGAATTGCAGAACATGCACTGCAGTCAATTCTGAAATGCTGAGCACTTGCAATCCTGTCCGCAATCTACAGTATTCTGGGTACTTCTGAGAACTGCACAGAAACAGGACAGCAACCCAGGACAAACAGCACCACAAATAAATCTAACTCTGCTAACTGGGAGAACATTGACATGACTAAGCTGGTGGGGGAACTGGCTAACCTACAGGTGCTCATCCTCAGAAAATGGCAAATTCCCTAAGAGCTGGCTGAATCATGATGACATGCCTGCTCCTTTCAGATCTCATTGTGTGGAAAATGACTTCTGTTAGATAATAGACAGCAAAGGATTCAACTCACCAGTGCTCTTCACAGCCAAAATCAGAAGTAGAGCAGCTGCTCATAAGCTGAGGATCTGCTACACAGCCAGTGCTGTTTTTCAATCTTGTGTAGTTTTTACGAACAATATATCCCCTGAAAGCTAAAAAACATAGTTATGAATCAGGCAAAAATTCTGCAGAGCCTGAAACGCAGACTGGCACCTAGCTCTGCAGTGCAGAGCTGAATGTCCTCAACTTTTACTGAACCAGTGGACAGAAAGAACACTTAGCACCTCACAGGCGTGGCTCCGGTGTTTGCACTGTTAACAACAGCTGGAAATTATACAGGGCCTTACACTCTCACTGTTATAGTGACCACTTGGCACAGCCCAGGCAAGGAAAACAGGCCTCAAAATGAGAACATGTCTAATTTAAATAGCAATCCAGCTTATAATGTATTAAAATACATAGTAGAAAATCACTCCCAAAACACTTTCTTTAATCACAGTTCCCATGATTTGAACTAGTCACAATTTTGCAGAATCAGTTTTACCTGCTTTTATTATGGGGTAGGGGAGTGAGGAGCCAGGGACAGATATATTCAATTAAAACTAGAAAAATTAATAATGTCTCCTCCTATTTTTCAATTAACTGTAACCATAATAAAACATTTAAGATACCTCTCATACAAATAATCAGGAAAAAAAATTTACGGAGATTAGAATTTATACCATTCATAAAAAACAGAGCAGAACAAAACAATCACTAGAATACTAAATGAAGTAGCAAGCATGCAGTGAAATGAAATGGCAAAGAAAATGGCAATGAATAACATTTTGAAGACATCTACACCCTTTATTTCCATGGACTGTCTCTGGATTTGGGTACCTAAATAACTTAATTACTTCTGTAGTTTTATCTGACATGAATTTGCTTGAATTCTTGACACCTGTGAGCAGTAATAAAGCTCCAGCACAAACCACAGATAGCAATACATACTGCACTTAGGACAAAAGATAAGTTTTATTTTTTGTAGGGTTTATTTCAAGCATTATTTTAAGTAGAAATACCTTCATAAAAGGGGAGAAAGGGCTGAATAACAAAGAAAGTAAGTACAGTATCAATACCATAGCTGAAGTGTACAACAAGCAGTTGCTGAAGAAGGCTGAGGGTTGCAAGGGAAAGAAGCAGTTTATTAGTCTAGCAGGACTGCAACTTAAACAGTGAGACAATATGTAAAAGAAAATTGGAGCTAAGATCAGGAAATATTATGATTTTGAGGAAAAAACAAATCCCTGTCCAGGGAAAGCTTTTAACCACACCAAACACGTGCAAAAAGCAGAGTCAGTCTGGGGACTAATTACCCAAAGGAGGAGGAGAAGAGCCCTCTCATTGGGGTTCCTGGAGTCCCGGGTCAAATATTACAGTGGGATGTAGGATAGGCACAGAAATAGGGTCTAGGGCAACCTCATGTAGGATCAGGGTCAAGATAACATTGTAGATTACAAAGGGAAATCAGGAGGTAGAATAAATATAGAATACAGAATAAATAGAGAACAGAGAAGCTGATTGGAAGTTTAACAAATTTTCCCTGTATTTCATGCCTCTGATTTTATGAAAACACTAGAAGTAGGCATTACCTACACAAAAGAGAATAAAAACCCTGTAGAATTTGCAATCCCTCAATTATTACCAAATTATGAGATAATTGATTGATTTCCCTTTTCTTCCATTTAACCACTCTTATAAATTTAGCTCCCCATTCATGGGTTTTTTTGCATGATGAAAAGATGGTGGAGGAAACAAAATAGAGCTACCTCGATTGCATCCGCTCTTTCCCTGAGGAAAGGGCTGTAACTAGTTCCTTTTTTTTTCTTTTAATTCCTTCTTCCATTTAACCACTCTTATAAATTTAGCTCCCCATTCATGGGTTTTTTTGCATGATGAAAAGATGGTGGAGGAAACAAAATAGAGCTACCTCGATTGCATCCGCTCTTTCCCTGAGGAAAGGGCTGTAACTAGTTCCTTTTTTTTTCTATTTTAATTCCTGTATAGCTTTAACGGTCTTTTTTTCAGCCACCTACCTCCACAAAAATATGTGGTGTTGCACTTATTTGTGCAATATAAGAAAATGAAAACCATCCAAACAGTTGAAGCTGCGGTATGCGATGCACCATAACAATCTAAGCATTTCAGTGCTACTGAGGTTTCCAGGGTAAGAAGCAGCAAAAATTGCCTTTTAATGAGAGGTTACTAAAATAAATAACCATTCACTCTACAGAAGGTATGACAGAAGTTGGGCCTGCTGAGGTGTTGTACCAAATACAGAGCTCAGGTATCGTGAGGCTGAGGAACTTTCCCGCCCTTAATAATCACACTGGAAAAGTCTGCCTGTCTGGCAGAGATGAGGCAAGCATTCACTTGCCCCGTATGATCAGGCTTCCAATCCTTAACTATCCCCTACTGACCAGACAAGGAGCCTACTCCGATATTGGCAGCAGAGACAGCTGGCCAGCAGCCACCTCTCTGCAGCTGAAACATGCTGAGTATCAGTCAGTCGGTGGACTACTATAAAGAAGCACTGAAACAAATGAACTAATAAGATAAACTTCAGTTCTATCCTTAGTAATTTCTCAACTTTTAGTAGTTCTTTGCATGTGTGTGTGTGTCTACAAAATCAACCCTGGTACCTACTGTGATTTTATTTTTTTAAATTATTTTTCTTTTTTCCCAGAGACTCTTATTAATGTCAGTATAATAATTTTGGTCTTTCCCTCATTCACTCACAAAACCTCTGCTATATCTGATTCAATAAACATAGTTTTTATCCTGTCTTTTGTTTTCATACGTATTTTTAAAATCAAGTCCTCTTCAACTTAACCTTTCCGCAAGCTGGTTTCTAACATTCTTCTAGAATACCTTGAGTCTGACAGGTAAATGGCTGTATTTTTCCTACTTTCCCTTTGACTCATGTGGTAACTGAAGTAGCAGGATAAACAAACTTGTCTATCTCTCAAAAGCTTCATCGAGCATTAGTAGGACTGCATCTTTTCAACATTTATTAACTGGATCTATAATGTTTCAAAAGAAATGCATATGCAGAGAATTCTACCGGGAGAGTCTGAGAGGCTGGGAAGCTGCTCCATCACAGCAATTTGCATTACTGACTGGTGCTGGTTTTGACACTAAGCACTTGGCTCAAAGAGTGTGAAATTAGCAGACTCATGTTGCTACTGCTCCATGAACAATCACTGCATCATTGAAGAAGAATGATTACCAGCTGTCACCTCATTTTCACCTTATCCAGTCTATATTCCAAACTTTCCAGCAACAGTATGTTTAACCGTGATCTTTAGATAGCCAAAGATGACAGGATCTGAAAAGCAACATAGGAACTGAACTTAATTTTAGCACTTCTATTAGTAACTCGGTGTTAAATGTTTTATGTGCCACAATTTAGGACATGAATTTTTACTTCCTGTACTGATCAATTCTCACACAAAGCAAGTTTTCTGTCAGCTCCAGCACCTAGCAAATCAAGAATATATTTACCTCATGGAGTCTGAAATTTGGTGTCTTGCAGTTAAAAACCTTTATTTTAAGGTCTAAGCACCAAGGCATATACATCACATGCAATGTTGCACAATTCCAGATAGGAAAAGTCCAGGCATTTTCCCTCTGATTCCCATAGGAAATATATAGTTACAGAGCAAATTGTGAAGCACAATGTAGAAAGATCAAAGCTAAACAATCACAGGTCTATACAAGCAGTATAAAGAAAGGAGATGAAGTAGTATTTTAAACAGCAGAAGGATTCATTATCAGTCATAAAAAAAAATGTTAAGCAGACATTTTCTACACAGACACATTTTTAATCTATATCACCACCTAAAATAGTACATAACAGCAACTTGGAAATGAAAGCTCATGCTTGCTGAAGAGAAGATATCATGGTAGTTTGTAATCAGAAGTTGATTTGCTATGGACAGCATATCACTTTCTTAATTTGCCTAGTTAAAAGAGCATTCAGCAGCTTAACTAACAACATCTGAGAGGATTTGGAGCCCACAAATCTGGTTCTTCACTCCATGCCAAATTAATTCTAATGTACAGTAAAAGGGATAGAGAGTCACATCCTTTGCTGGGTCCCATGAATACTTCCTCTCTTTCACCTCCCACTCTGGATGGATATTGGGTGATGCCTGTTTAATAGCAGAAAAAAACAACTCTTGTCTTAAGTTCTCCGGCAGAAGCATTACAAGAAAGCAAGTCACGAGTTCTCATGTACAAGCAGTAACTATCAGTAACAAGCAGTGACTATTTGGAAGACTCACCAAGGCTGCCATCAGGACTGGTGTCACTGATGCACATCACCACTTGGACATATGTTTTTTAATTACCATGCATTACAGTCTCTGATCTTGAGACTTCGTCAGAGAAAAAAAAGTGAAGTTGACTGTGAAAATCTTTGTCAATATCAGCAAGGGAAAGGAATAGGTTTTCCAACATATTGTTGGACAACGTACGTTGTCGTCCCTTCCTAATTTTAGCAAGGGCATGAAATCCAGTAAGAACGGTCTCCTTTTCATCTCCTCAAAAACAGGAGAGAAAATCAAAAGGAAATGCAGAAATAATCACATCGACAGAGCTTAGTTCAGAGATGGGGACAGAATATAGGACCTCATACTTCAAAACCATAAGGCCTTCTCACTTTTCCTAACGTGTTCCCTGCACATGAGCAGCAGGCTTTTAATTGCTACTAGAGATAGATACTAAAAGTGAAGAATTACTGGATGCCCTAAGCTAGTACAGAACACAAAGAGATGGAAGAGTAAAGTTAACCAAAGCTGTGCAGCCTGTACAAACCAGTCTGGTTTACCCTGAATGTGAAGTCAAGAAAATACAAGGAGTCAGTCCCCCTGCCACTAAAAGAAACTCATACATCTGTTCAATGGTTCTTACACTGACAATGTAGTTAAAAGGAAGAAAATTAATGATATAAAAAAGTAAAACTGGATCTGCTACTTAGTGGTTGCCATTTTCAGGAAAATTAAAAAAAAAAAAGATATTTTTAGATATATTTATAAAGTGCTTAGAAGTTCTTAGAACATTTTACTCATTTAATTCTTAGATCTACATGACAGTATTAGCCAAATACATGTACACACACATGTACATAGTGATATAAATAGATGGATAAATATAGGGTTTTCAAGAAATACTTTCTTGTCTTCTATTGAAGCCAACATTAAATCTTTGCTGTTGAAAATCCCAAAGGTAACACTTTTATTAAAAGCTTACATTTATTATAAATGTAAAAAAGTAAGTTACAGCTGTTCTCAGGCCCTCTTTTTTTATTTATAATGGAGTAAATTTTGCCAGAAGCACATGTTAGAGATATGTAAATAGTGAGCAACACTGCATGGGCAGAAGTTACAGAAAGAAAGCAATTTACAAAGGGATGCTTTATCTGGTTTGCTTCTGAACATCCATCACTTTTTATTTAAGTATAGGGTTTTCAAGAAATACTTTCTTGTCTTCTATTGAAGCCAACATTAAATCTTTGCTGTTGAAAATCCCAAAGGTAACACAAAAGCTAAAAGCTTACATTTATTATAAATGTAAAAAAGTAAGTTACAGCTGTTCTCCTTTTTTTATTAAAAGCTTACATTTATTATAAATGTAAAAAAGTAAGTTACAGCTGTTCTCAGGCTCTTTTTTTTTATTTATAATGGAGTAAATTTTGCCAGAAGCACATGTTAGAGATATGTAAATAGTGAGCAACACTGCATGGGCAGAAGTTACAGAAAGAAAGCAATTTACAAAGGGATGCTTTATCTGGTTTGCTTCTGAACATCCATCACTTTTTATTTAAGAAAAAAAAAAGAGAGCCCAAATCTTGAGTTCTTGATAAAGAATTTTCCAATACAATGTGACATATGGTGAGTGTGCGAGCACGTGTTGGAGGAGGAGATGGTGGCTCAATGGATTAGTCATTTGCCTTTCACCTCTGGAAGCATAGTTAAACTCAGTCCTGACCAGAGCTGCACAGTATATTCCAGATGGCTAAAGTGGGCCTAATTAAAATGAATTCAGTGATGTCACCTCGGATCTAAGTGAATCGCATGCACCACTCATTTGGCATTTTGGCAATGTCAGTTCACAAATGAAATAACCAGATTAAAATCCTCTCTTAAGTCTTTCGGGACAACAGTCACATTGCATGGAAATACATGCTATCGTAACTAGAAAACGTACTTTTATAATTTTATTATCTGTTGTTTTAAATTCTAATTAATGCATTATTCTAATACAAAGAAACATTAAATGAGACTTGCATGTGAGGTAAATCAGTGCAGCAACATTTCAGTCAGATGATTCAGTGGATATACACTGATTTAAACCAGCTGTGAATCTGGCAATATAATTGTAAAAAATTCTTTATTTTAACAAAATATTTTTCCTTTTATGTAGATGTAAATCAAAACAATACAAATCCCAATTACAAAGAAAGACTCAGAAGTGCAAAGTATTGTTAACTCAAACACTTTAAACAAAATCACTCTTTACAATTCGTCTCTAAGTTAAAAATTAGCATTTTCTAAGCTTCACAGTTTGGGAAAGTGTGACTGGAAGAAGTGGGGAACACCTTGTGTACCACTTTAGCCACGAGTCTAATAACATCTGTGTATTCTGAGAACCTGTGATACAGATATGCTGAAGTAGGGTAGCTTTTTCTTCCCCACCTAATTTAAATTCACAAATATTTTGTTTGCTAGCAAGGGTGTTTTCCCCCATCTGAAATAATGACTTTTTTCATGTAATATAATACACTCAGGAATTGTATCCTCATGTATATTGTGAGGGTTGGTTTTTTTCTAAGTTTGTTTTTTCTTCCAACATTTCTTCAATGGATAGTGAACTGCTGGGCCCACAGAGATCTCCAGACCACCAGCTCATGTATTTGAAAGGCATCTGTTTATTTTTAAAATGCAAATGCAGCCTACCTCAAAGACTGACTTGCAAGAAATGAACAATCTGAACAAGTCAAGAGGTTTCCAATCAGGAGCTGTGTTCCTCCTTTATATCAGGCTATGATCACTTGCTGTCAAAACCACTTAAACAATATCCTGGAATCTGAATGAAGTCCCCCCACAATTAAAATGAGCAGGATAATCCTGCAAGAATTATTCAGGCAAATCATTTTTCACACAGTTTAAAGTAATGATAAGGTCATTTACAAAAGAAATCAGCGCCTTTGAAATGCTGACAGAGGACTGCCTGGAGGAGGGCCATAGATAACAGTGAAGACTGGCCTCCTAACACTACCCTCGCAGTCTTTGGAACTGATTCTGATGAAGAGAAGGCCCAATAAGGTTAATACCCCTACTTTGATCTCTGTCAAAGCGTACCAGCAAGAATTAATTTACATTTCAGATGAAAAAGGTTGACAGCATGAAAAGGCATCTTGTTTCTGGTATGTGAATGTGCTGTAATAGATCGGGAATTCTGAAAGGAAGTTCTGAGGAAGCTAAAGGGATAAGCCGAGCGGCTGCTTTTATTGGGAAAGAGATGAAAGGAAAACAAATTTCAATATGCGCTGTTCTGTAGAAACATGTAAGCCAAATGCTTCCTAAATTTCAAGGCCTGCTTGAGCGGGGTGGGGGGAAGGAGAGGGAAGTACATATATTTTAATTATATGGTTTTGCTAATGTCTGGATGACAAATGCAAACAATCTATCTTACTGCCTGAAATGGTTCATTTTAAAAAAAAAAATACAAAGGTGATCATACTCCATTTTACTGAAAAGCTGCCTTGAACTACACGCTCACATTATAAGATGTGCAGGGAAGGGAGAGATCTGGAGCTGCTTTTGTCTCCATGTCACTAGGCACTTGGACAGTGTAATGTAAACAACAGAAAGACTGTCAGTGTATTTTAAAACCTGGAAAATGGCCACCATTAGCAAGCATGAGCTTTGATTTGAAACACAGAATAATTAGCATGTAGAGAAGAGAAAATGTGCACAAAAAGAATTTTCAAATAAGAAGTCCTAGATATAGGTTTCCAAAGGCAGACAGAAACGTGTTGAGGATTATTATTATTAATTATACCCCTTCGAATGCAATGCTAAAGATAGGAGGAGCAGACAGCCTAATTAATACAAAGGTGCACTGTGTCACTCTTAACCCTATAGTCCTAATGCTTATTCACCCAGGCTGATCACTGAAACTGTCAAGTGCCAGGTAACAAAGGAAGACAGTGTGTGTGTTGGTGGGAAGAGTGCTAACAGCATTCCTCCAGCATTAGGTCCAGAGGGCTCAACTAAAGTGCCTAAATTCAAGGGTATGCGTACGCTCCCACTGCCTCTGCTCTGCCATGTTCAACACAGCATCTAAGAGATGGTAGGAAGGAACACAGCTCTGAATCTCTCCCATGTGTGCAAACAGCAGAATAGATCAGTTGCTTTCTCTAAAGAGCTGGTAATGAGTATGCATCTCCTACACGCCTAAGAAATCTGGCTGGATAAAACTTTAAGGCAGAATGTCCCCTACAGTCTCCAAGTGATACTGCTACACACCAGCTTCCTACTGAACCTGACATAACTCTCATCTTAAGGAACTGGTAATAGTGTGACAGTGATGGGTCAACTGTTTCACTTTCCTTTTTACGGCAAAAGGCTGTTGTAAGTCAGGAAATCAAAGTCCAGGCATGGCCAAGTATAAATGTAGCAAATACTCCAGAAAATAGTTGCAGGGGGTACTTTAAGATCTACTCTCTGTGCTATCATGAAAACAATAGAAAATGACAACACAAAGGAGAGGAAGAAGGGGAGAGAGTGCTTATGCAGTCCTTCAGTGCTTGTTGTAACAGTAGAAAAAATTTCTCTTTAACAGCTCTCCATTTAATAGAATATTCTGCATTTGACCCTAGAGCTATAGTTCATGATTCTACATAACAGTATGCATGCAAAGCTATAAATTATTATTTTATCTTAATGATATTCTGTTCCTTTCTGTAACTAGACTGGTATTCTGTTTTCTGCTGAAAGTAAGAGCGATGCTTAATTTCAGAGTAGCAAACTTAGACAAAAGAAAACCAAATGAATTTACTGGAAACGGCTTGAGAACAAAGTAAAAGAATATTTAGAACACATCTTTTTCAGATTGACTTTAGACTATATGATACAGAATAGAGAGGGGACAAAGCTTAAGGAATTATAGCACAGGAAGCTTGTAGAATAAAGGTGGTACCTTGGTTTATCTGTAAACACATTTGCTACAACTCATTTTTGATCGGCTACAGTCTTTCAACCTGGGGTTGGGCAGGGAAGGTGTATCACACTGCATCATATGGAGGCCGCTTCATATTGGTAGCATCTGAACACACCATTGAGTTCACAGCACTGGTTCTTAGATTTCTGCACCATATGGTACCCTGCTCTCTACTCAAGACCTACACAGCCCTATGGGCCTGTTCCTCCAATAATCTCTTTAAAGTTTATTCAAATTCATATTGATATGGCTGCATAGGAGCCTGGCAGAGAGTCAAAAGATTGGCCAAAGCTGGCAAACCCAGCAAGCAGTCAAAACAAAAACCTGGCAATCTGCCAAGATCAGGGGTCTACACAAAAACGGAGAAACGCATGTCCAGTGCCTCCCATCCACACTCTTAGTCAAATCAATCCAGTGCTTCATACCAGCTCTACATATAGTTGAATCATACTGACTGTGCTCAGAAGAATCTTAAAGAATTAACTCAACAGCTTTTAATCAGTACGTTTTGCTTCCACAGAAGTACTTACAAAAAACCCGAAGTGCCTGATACCTGTCACTGATGTCATTTGATACTGAAGAACAAACGATCAGAAGTAATGTTTTTGATAGCTTTTGTTTGGACTGTATGTATTTCTCTTGGCTATAAACACTGACACATGAAATCACCCAGAGCAAAATAGGTGTTGGCAACCGAAGTAATGTTTTAATTACCTGCTTGAATATGTATAGCGGCATCAGTTCTTCTGTTCCTTATTTCCTTGTACTTCCTGCGAGCTTCATATCCTCTCCAGGCTAAAAATACAAAACCATGTGCTGGAAATTACATTTATTTAAGGAAGTGCTACAGAGTCTACAAAGTCAGAGATGTGCTGAAACTTCATCCCTCCT